TTCAACAAATGGCAATTCAAAGTGCTTTACAAAAATGGAAGACATTAAGAAAATGGCATTTAAAATCAGTCATTAAAAATAAAAGATAATAAAATAAACATTAAAAGAAAAAATACATGGATAAAAGTTACAGTGCAGTTTAAGATATGAATAGTTCAATTAAAAGTAGCGGCAAAAAGAAAAGTCTTCAGCCTGGATTTAAAAGTAGTAAGAGTTGCTGCGGACCTGCAGGTTTCTGGGAGTTTGTTCCAGATGTTTGGAGCATAATAACTGAACGCTGCTTCTCCATGTTTAGTTCTGACTCTGGGGACAGAAAGCTGACCAGTCCCTGAAGACCTGAGAGTTCTGGATGGTTCATAATTTAGCAGTAGGTCAGACATGTATTTTGGGCCTAAACCATTCAAAGCTTTATAAACCAGCAACAATATTTTGAAATCTATTCTTTGACACACAGGAAGCCAGTGTAAGGACTTCAGAACAGGAGTGATGTGATCCACTTTCTTAGTGTTAGTGAGGACTCGAGCAGCGGCGTTCTGAATTAGCTGCAGCTTTCTAATAGATTTTTTAGTGAGACCTGTGAAGACACCATTACAGTAGTCCAGTCTACTGAAGATAAAAGCATGGACAAGTTTTTCCAAATCCTGCTGTGACATTAGTCTTTTAATCCTGGATATATTCTTTAGGTGATAGTAGGCTGATTTAGTAACTGTTTTAATGTGACTGTTGAAACTCAGGTCAGAGTCCATGACTACACCTAGATTTCTGGCTTTATCTGTTGTTTTGAACATTGCAGACTGAAGCTCAGCGCTAACTTTTATACGTTCTGCCTTGGCTCCAAAAACCATTACCTCAGTTTTATCTTTGTTTAATTGGAGAAAGTTCTGACACATCCAGTCATTGATTTGTTCAATGCACTTACTTAGTGTTTGAATTGGAGCATAATCTCCTGGTGAAATTGTTACGTAAATTTGTGTGTCATCCGCATAGCTATGGTAACTTATTTTTTTGTTTTTCATTATCTGAGCCAGTGGTAGCATGTAGATGTTAAAGAGAAGAGGCCCGAAGATGGAGCCTTGAGGTACCCCACATGTCATATTTGTAAACTCAGATGTGTATTTACCTATAGAAACAAAGTTTTTTCTGTCCTTTAAGTAGGACTCAAACCAATTTAGAACTGTTTCCGAAAGTCCCACCCAGTTTTCTAGTCGGTCTAGTAATATGTTGTGGTCAACAGTGTCAAACGCAGCACTGAGATCTAATAATACTAACACTGAAGTTCTGCCACTGTCTGTGTTTAAGTGGATGTCATTGAAGACCTTTACAAGAGCAGTCTCAGTGCTGTGGTTTGGACGAAATCCTGACTGGAACACATCCAAACAGTTATTTAAATGCAAGAACTTACTCAACTGTTGAAATACAACTTTTTCAATGATTTTACCAAGAAATGGTAGGTTTGATATTGGCCTGTAATTGTTCATTACTGAAGCATCTAGATTATTCTTTTTTAAGAGCGGTTTAATGACTGCAGTTTTCAGGGCCTGTGGAAAAATACCTGAGTGAAAAGATGTGATTACTATATGAAGTAGATCTGAGGCCATGCAATGAAAACATCTTTGAAAAATCCTATTGGAATAATATCAAGGCAGCAGGAGGAGGATTTCAGAAGTTGAATAATGTCCTCTAAGTTTTATCTATCATTAATCTGATGGAATTGTGTCATGGTGTTTGAATGGATATTAGGTGGACACAGGGACAGCACATTTGCTGTACCTGATGCAGAGGCACTGACTGCTTGTCTGATTTTCTGAATTTTGTCAGTGAAGAAGGAGGCAAAATCATTGCATGCCCTGGTGGATAGAAATTCAGATGCTACTGACACTGGGGGGTTAGTTAGTCTGTCGACGGTAGCAAACAAGGCACGTGCGTTGTTTTTGTTTTTGGTAATGATGTCAGAGAAGAAAGACTGTCGTGCGTTTTTCAATTCCAAATTATAAAGGCCAAGTCTCTCTTTATAGATTTCAAAGTGAACCTGGAGATTTGTTTTTCGCCACCTACGTTCAGCTTTTCGACACTCTCTTTTTTCTGTTCTCACGGTCATGGCCTTTCTCCATGGAGATATTTTCTTGCCAATCACTTCCTTTACCTTAGTTGGAGCAATGGCATCTATAACGTTTTTAATTTTTTAATTAAAATGATCTACTTGCTCATTTACTGAGATGTTAGCAGGGGCAAGTGTGGATGAAAAATTATGAGTAAACATTTCCCTAGTATTTTCTGTTAAATATCGCTTTGTGGTTACCTCTTTCTGAACATTTTTGTGAACAGAAATAGAGCTCTCAAAGAAAACACAGAAATGATCAGAGAGTGCAACATCAGTCACCACAACCTTTGAGATATTCAGACCCTTTGAGATAATTAAGTCCAGAGTGTGCCCCTTATTGTGCGTGGGCTCCGCCACATGCTGAGTCAGTCCATAGTTATCAAGAACACAAAACAGTTCTTTAGCCCCTCTGTCCTGGGGGTTGTCAACATGGATGTTAAAATCACCAACAATGACTAAACGGTCAAAGTCAATACACACTATCGACAGCAGTTCAGTAAAGTCATCAAAAAAGCTTGCACAGTATTTGGGTGATCTATAGATATTTAGGAACAGAGCTCGAGAGGAGCATTTCAGCTGAAGGGCCACATATTCAAAAGAAGCATTGAACAAAATAGCAACTCCACCCCCTTTCTTATGCATTCTTTCCTGACTCATAAAACTAAAGTTGGGAGGGGTTGATTCGATAAGAACAGCTGCACTGTTATTTTGTTAAATCCAAGTTTCCGTTAAAAACATAAAATTGAGATTGTGCTCAGTGATAAAATCATTGATTAAAAATGTTTTTCCTGCCAAAGACCTGACATTTAATAAAGCTAGTTTAAGTTTGTTAAATACACTATCAGTAAAAACATTTGTGACAAGCTGTGGCTGACATGGAATCACTGCTAAATTTGATAACCTCACACAAACGTTTGAGCACTTCCTGTTTCTAAGCTGATTCGCCGCTCTTAATCTATTACCTATCAACACAGATATCGGCAAAGCTACAGGCAGGAAGGGCCCTGGCATGTGCTGGAAAGAGTTGAGAGTGCCAAACGCCCTTGAGCCTGGACCCAGCACATATCAGTAAGAGTTTGTTGCGTTTTGTACACACACATCCTTATCAGGCTTCAGAGACTGCAGATGCTTTCTTGAAGGGAGGGGAGGTGGTTGACGTAGGCACGGTGATGAAGACGGGGGAGATGGTGCGCGTCTCTGCTTCGGTGATTTTGGTGGGCGTTGTGGAAGGGCGGGGGTAAAGGACATGCTGCCAGGGGGGGGAGGTGGTTGACGTAGGCTTGTCTTCGGTGATTTTGGTGGGCGTCGTTGAGGGGCGGGGGTAAAGGACATGCTGCCAACCCTGCGTATCGCCTTCATGCGGTCATCGAACTCCAGGGGGGAGGGCGAGGGTGAAAGGGTGAGTGGAGAGTAGAGAGAGCTGGGGGATGAATGAAGAGTATCCTCAAAGGCGTTGACAGGGGGGGTGACGGGCAGTGGAGACTCCTCCATTTGTGTCATAGGTCTCCCATAATCAGAACATTCCTCAGGCAGGTGCAGTGATACTTCTTCAGGGTTTTCTGCGTGATGTGTTGTGTCTTTCTCCTGTTTTGATTCCTCTTGCCGCTTGTCCTTGGCAGAGGGAACAGATTGATGACGCAGGCAGTTGAATATGTTAGAGATAAACAATTTCACTCCCGACTTGTTCAGGCAAACTCCATCTGCCTTAAAAAGATGTCTGCGATCCCAGAAAAAGTTAAAATTGTCAATAAAATGGACAGAATGGTCAGTACAGGCAGCTGAAAGCCACGTGTTCAGTGCAAACAGTCTGCTGAATCTCTCCACTCCTCTTCTGACTGGCGGTAGAGGGCCACTGATGAACACCTCCGCATTTAGAGAGCTGACAGTTTCCAACAGACATTTAAAGTCTTCTTTCAGCGCTTCTGACTGTTGTTTCACAACATCATTTGTTCCAATATGTAGTACCACATTCTTCACAGTCGGATGTTCAGCCCCAATATGCAGGATCTTCTCAGCCAAGTCAGAGACCATATTCTTGGGAAAACAGAGTACTTTGGTGTTGTTCTTACTACACAGACCTTTTACATCTCTTACAGCAGTCACCCACAATCAGAGTTTCAGGCCCAGCCGTTAGCTTTCCCTCTAGACTTTTACTTTTGGAGTAGCTATTGGTCCTTACCCTGCTGTGTGAAGAGGACAGGTTATCCAGGTCATCAGAAAGAGATCTCCGGTTCTCGGTCAACGGAGCGTATCTGTTCTGGATTGGCACACTTGGTGGTTTAGGAGGATTGTTTGTAGTTCTCCCTTTAGCAGCTGTCCACGGCTGCTTCCTAGTATGAATAGGGGTTGAAGAGGCACTCTTCCTGGGTGATAACAATGCAGGCCAGCCGGTCGCATCACAGATTTCAGAGCGCTGGGCTCTGCCAGTTATTCGTCCTCCCAAATCCCATGGAAATGATTTACTCTTAGGCTTTGCACCCAGAGAGTTCCAGGGAGGACTACCACTTGTAGATTTATTACCCAGTACACAGCCCTCCTGTTCCTTGGAAACCTTGTAGCTGCTAACTAGCTGTGAGTTAGCATACCCTTTTCCATTATTTTGCAACACTGGTAAAGTGGTGTTATTCCCACAACATAGTCCATTCACTTCCACGTTAACTTCCAACCGTTGCATTTTCATTTCCAACACAGCCATCTTCTGTAGAAGTTTGTGGAAGTCATCTGTAGAGAACGGAGGCATTTTGCTGCTAACTAGCTTAAGCTAAATAGCATGCAGTAGCCTACCAGGCTTAAGCTGTTGCTAGGCCACGCTACTGTAAGACTGAGGTCGTCGTAAAAATGTTGAAATATGGCTGAAACCCTCCGTCTATTTACGAAGAATAACTGTCCCAGTGATAAGTTAATGTCCAGGAGCCGCTGCTCGAAGTTTTCAGAGAATAAGAATAGGAAAATCAGCATAAAAAGTAAGCAGAGGCCAAAAGCCTCACCCATTTTATTTTGGGGAATTTAGTGATATTTAAAAAGCTGAGGAGGACCTCAGGGCTTGTTCAGGGACATAAAGCGAGACTGACTCTGTAAATTGAAGTCTGTTAGTCAGACTTCAATTCAGAAAGACTCAGGAGGAGGAAACAGCTAGCTTGGCTCTCTTAGTTGTTCAAAACGATGCAGTGTGGATTCGCTCGTGGAGTTTAAGGTGAATACTTTGAGAAAACTTTTTACTACACTCTTAACACCACTATCGTTTCTCTCCATTGTGAACCCTATGATGTTTTTGGAGATTACCTAATTCCGTGAATGTTTTCCCACACTCTTCACAGCAGTACGGTTTTTCTCCTGAGTGAATACGTTGATGTGATTTTACTTTACTTGATTGAGTGAAAGTTTTCCCACACTCTTCACAGCTGTACGGTTTCTCTCCTGTGTGAATACGTTGATGTGTTTTGAGAGCACTTGATGTAGTGAATGTTTTCCCACACTCTTCACACCAGTACGGTTTCTCACCCCGGTGAATACGTTGATGCGTTGTGAGATAACCTGATGTATTGAACGTTTTCCCACACTCTTCACAGCTATACGGTTTCTCTCCCGTGTGAATACGTTCATGTTGTTTGAGATTAGCTAATGTAGTGAACATTTTCCCACACTCTTCACAGCTGTGCGGTTTCTCTCCCGTGTGAATACTTCTATGCGTTGTGAGATAACCTGATGTAGTGAATGTTTTACCACACTCTTCACAGCTGTACGGTTTCTCTCCGGTGTGAATACGTTGATGTGATTTTAGTTTACCTGACTGAGTGAAACTTTTCCCACACTCTTCACAGCTGTACGGTTTCTCTCCTGTGTGAATACGTTGATGTGTTTTGAGACCACTTGATGAAGTGAATGTTTTCCCACACTCTTCACACCAGTACGGTTTCTCACCCCGGTGAATACGTCTATGCGTTGTGAGATAACCTGATGTAGTGAACGTTTTCCCACACTCTTCACAGCTGTACGGTTTTTCTCCTGTGTGAATAACGTGATGTTTTTTTAGATTACCTGATGTAGTGAACATTTTTCCGCACTCTTCACAGCTGTACGGTTTCTCTCCTGTGTGAATAAATCGATGAGTTTTGAGATAACTTGATGTAGTGAACGTTTTCCCACACTCTTCACAGCTGTACGGTTTCTCTCCTGTGTGAATACGTTGATGTGTTTTTAGATCACCTGATTGATTGAATGTTGTCCCACACTCTTCACAGCTGTACGGTTTTTCTCCTGTGTGAATACGTTGATGTGTTTTGAGATTACCTGATGTAGTGAAAGTTGTCCCACACTCTTCACAGCTGTACGGTTTTTCTCCTGTGTGAATAACGTGATGTTTTTTGAGATTACCTGATGTAGTGAACATTTTTCCGCACTCTTCACAGCTGTACGGTTTCTCTCCTGTGTGAATACGTTGATGTGTTTTTAGATCACCTGATTGATTGAATGTTGTCCCACACTCTTCACAGCTGTACAGTTTTTCTCCAGTGTGAATAAGAAGGTGGCGCTTTAAATCTCCAGATATTGTAAAGGATTTGTCACATTGCTGACAGCTGTGAAGTTTCTCCCTTCCTTTCGGTTTCTAGAACAGACGTACAGAGAAAGAGAAAAAGTAAATCTAAAAAGCATAAATACCTATACAGTTAACACAATACAAACTTGCTTAATACAAACCTTCAGGTAACAAAATACTTATTTTACTAATATAACTGTTTGTGTTTAATATATTTGTATTATATTTGATGCAGTAATACAGCAACGTTCTAACCAAAGTAAATACAGCAAAGTTCTACATTGGGAATGAGATGTCTGTAAATATTTTAACTAAATAAACTACCCAGTAATAAAACTTGTATAGCCCTTATTTGAATCATTAGGTTTTAAAAGTTGTAAAATGCACTAAAAGCTGAATCCAGATTTATTTTCTCTCTCCATTCATTCTACTGAGCCGAGTGAGGGAGATTGGAGTCGGGGCTTAAGGGAAAACTAAAATGCGCATGCTCTACGCTCTCAACAGCAAGGCATGATGGGTAATTTGTGACGTTTTGCTCTCGAGAATGTCAGGCCATTTTGTCTTCATGTGCCAATGAGCAGCTCTCATAACAATGAATGAGGCCTCTAGTCTCTGTTAATAAATTAAAGTATAAAGTTTGCATATTTGAAATTAAATGTTTAAAGAAAAAAATTGATTCTAAACATGACATTGACAATGTGTTCTCCTTTCATGAAAAATGTTCATATTCCCTCTTGTAAAAATTGCATATTATTACTATAAGTCTTTATTTATTTTATTTTAACTTTACATTTTTAATTGTTCATTAACCTGTTAAGCCCTGAACCTGTTTTTCAGGTTCGAAAATGACATTCCCAGAACAAATGACCCTATCTTCCCTTCTTAAAGGGTTAAATTAATAATCTTTTTTCTCAAAGTAATGATAAACCTGTGAGTTGGATGTAGAAAAGTCAGAACAATACAGATGTTTTCTATTTTAAAGAGAATTCAGATTGAACATAGTAAAAAACTGTAAATTATAGTGTCCGTCCAAAAATTCTTTTTTACTTATAGTGAAAACTACCCTTGGATGATGGTAAGGTAGACTAAAAGCTTTAGGAATCCAAAGTACAACATATAATAAGTACCCTGTATCAAGATTGATGCAAAACAAGTGACATTTGACCTTTTTAGAGAGATTTAGCAAAAAAACTCCACCTCTGAGGTGATTTGGGTGGAAATGGGGGTTTTACCGTTTATTGGTCGATTTTGGTGATTGACATCTCTTTCTGACCGTTAGAGCCAATAGAATCGAAGGGGAATTTCCCCACTCACAGATGTTAAAAGAAAAAGGTGGGGGCTTTGCGCATGCAGGTTTGCATCAGAGTGAACCGATCTCTCGCTCTGACATCTGCAAACGGAAAAGCAGTTTTATTGCTTATGGATTATCAGAAATCATTTCAAAGGGACACTGACACATTGGATTAACCTATGGATTAACTTCAGCAGCGATTTTATCGTTTTAATGCCATTGAAGACCACTTTTGACCAGACAACGACACAGGTAAGCCATGTTAGCGTTTTTAGCTACCTAGCGCCACATGTTTTGATGTCTGTTTTTGTTTATAAAGTCGCAAGTTCTTATCATAGAGGAATAATGTATGTACCCATCGATTCTGTGTCATCTCACGATGCGAATCGATGTGTTGGATGTGTAGAAAAGATAAATAATAAGGTTTTATGAGTGAGTTTCGGTGCAGTAATCTGTTAGCATTTTTCGCTAGTTGCTAATTCAGAGGCTCAGCGTTAGCATTGTGGGGTTTTTTTGGAAAAAAAAATAACAATGATCAGTTAGATGAGTTTCTTCCCGTTTCATGGATATAAAACATTCATAGTTTATTAAATATTAAGATGCCCTCAGACACTGTTTCCTCAGATGACGCGTTTTTCCCCCCGATATCGGGGCTGCGGTGTAGAAGAGGTTAAGTAAAAGTTGAACCTATGTGACCTCCTTCTCCCTCAAAGATAGAAAAGGGGAAACCACCTGATGCAGAGAGGGAGGAGAGAAGAGACTATAAAAGATGATGTGTGAAGAAAATGGGGGGCTTTTTAGGCTTGGAGGCTTGAGAGCTTGGGGGAAGTTTTTGGAAGCTGGATTCTGGGTCTTGGGCCCTGGGCCTGGGCTCTTTTAGATGGCTTTTTTAGGACATTTGACTTGTGAACCTGTTGCTTTTGTATTTTGACTTTGTGTCTTGTTATTTTATGGATTTTTGTAAATCCGCAATTTTTGTTAAAACCTTAATAAAACCTGTTTGTACTTAGTACATTTCGACCCACGTCCTGGTCTCTCTCTCGTGGTCTCTGAAGGTATCTGCTTGGTCTTAGAGTGAGGTAAGAACACCCTTCCTTGGAAAAGGCTGACATTCGTTGATCATTTGGATTTGAAATTGTTTAAGGGGAATAGGAACCCTGCTAAGGTTAAACTATAGTTTCACATTGGTTACTGTGGTTGATGCAGTTTTGATTGATGTTGAAATATGACATATGCTCTGCTGATGTGGTAATGTCACTGCTGTGATATTAATATTTAACTCTGGCTGGTAATGTCACTGCTGTGACATTAATGTTTTACTCTGGCTGTGTTTGATATTACATTTGCATTGTTTTAATTGGTATAACTGGGGATCAAAATTGGGGGTTAGGGATTGTGGGTCCTGAAGCTGCCCTAATTACCAAGGGGTCTCCCAACGACAAGGGTTTCTCCTCCAGGGGCAGTTTAGATACTGCTCTGGGGTTCTATCAGCCCACCAACACCTACTACACTATACACTCCTAGCGGTCGGACATCCGAGGCTGCAGTGCCTAAAATAGGGATACGACGGGCAGTTTGGTGTTAGAGGCCACGCTGTAAACGCCCCCCTAAGCAGATTACGTTGATCTTGCGTGTAGATTCTGGCGGGTTTAGTCCTAAAAAGATTGGACGGCTGTTCACCGGAGCCTTATCAGCACCGGAGTTCGGTATCGGAGACGGCCTACATATTAACATTGGTTGTATCGAAGTTAGATTCCTTTTCACAACAATGGAATTATGATCAGTAGGAATAGACATGGGACCTTTAAACTATGCCAATTTATTTTTACATTTTATTTGTTTGCAAGTTTGCAGAAAATAGGTCGGGTTGAGACACTGCTGTATGTATGTGTGTGTGAGAAAGTGTAACTGCTGTATATATATGTGTGTGTGAGAAAGTGTAACTGCTGTATGTGTGAGTGTGAGAAAGTGTAACTTCTGTATGTATGTGTGTGTGAGAAAGTGTAACTGCTGCATGTATGTGTGAGAAAGTGTAACTGCTGTATGTATGTGTGTGTGAGAAAGTGTAACTGCTGTATGTATGTGTGTGTGAGAAAGTGTAACTGCAGAGACAATCTACCTATTGGTTGTAGCAAAGCCTGTTAACACTTTGTGATTCACAATTTTATTTTGTATTTTTTATAATTTATAATTTTGTATAATGTATATTATTTATAACGGCTCAGGTCCATTAACCTGTTAAGCCCGAGAGACCCCGGTACCGGGGCCCTCCCGCAACATCTTGCAGGAAACAGTGTCTGAGGGCATGTTCATTTAATAAACTATGAATGTTTTATATCCATGTAACGGGAAGAAACTCATCTAACTGATCTTTTTTTTTTTGTTTAAAAAAAACACCCACAATGCTAACGCTGAGCCTCTGAATTAGCAACGAGCGAAAAATGCTAACAGATTTACTGCACCGAAACTCACTCATAAAACCTTATTATTTATATTTTCTGCACATCCAACCCATCGATCTGATCGTGAGATGACACAGAATCGATGGGTACATACATGATCACTCTATGATACAAACTCGCGACTTTATAAACAAAAACAGACATCAAAACATGTGGCGCTAAGTAGCTAAAAACGCTAACATGGCTTACCTGTGACGTTGTCTGGTCAAAAGTGGTCTACAATGGCATTAAAACGATAAAAACGCTGCTGAAGTTAATCCATAGGTTAATCCAATGTGTCTGTGTCCCTTTGAAATGATTTCTGATAATCCATAAGCAATAAAACTGCTTTTCCGTTTCCAGATGTCAGAGCTAGAGATAGGTTCGCTCTGATGCAAAACTGCATGCGCGAAGCCCCCACCTTTTTTTTACCATGTGTGTGTGTGGGGAAATTCCCCTTTGATTCTATTGGCTCTAACGGTCAGAAAGAGACTTAATTCGTCAAAATCGACAAAGGGGGGCCAGAGATATGGAAAATCCACCCAAATGACCCCAGGAGTGTTTTTTTTTTTGCTAAATCTCTCTAAAAAGGTCAAATTTCACTTGTTTTGCATCAATCTTGATACAGGGTACTTATATGTTGTACTTTGGATTCCTAAAGCTTTTAGTCTACTAACCCATCATCCAAGGGTGATTTTCACTATAAGTAACGGCCCGTCCACACAGCAGCGTTAAAAAAATCTTGGAGGTGGGCGTATCTGAAGCTTGGGGATTTTTTGCGAGCAAGGCACCAACAACCAATCACATGAATCTCCCGCCCCCGACATACGAAGCAAAAAAGCCCGAAGTAAACTGGATATAAACTCCCCAAACAGGCGAAAACCTACCACTGTCTCTGCCACCTCCCTCCATGCCTGGCTCCTCCGGTTTGTATCCCGGTAGGTAAATAGGGACTGGTCATAAAGCACCGGGTGATTCCCTCCCGCTAATTTCTCCTCCATTTTTTGGAATATGAGGAAATGACCTGCGGTATGTCTCTCCCAGCATACACGCGGTTTGATTGGCTAGCGCTTGAACTGTCAGATTTGCATACACGGGATTTGATTGGCTGACGCTTCCACCTCAGCTTCAAAAGTTGAACATTGATCAACTTTGAATCCTGAAAATCCTGAAAATCTCCGCTCTGCTGCCCACAATGCAGTTCGGCGAAAAGTGAGGCAAAGTGACGTCACCCCATTCAAAGTGAATGGGCAGAAGCGTTCCAAGATTTTTTAACGCTGCTGTGTGGACGGGCCGTAATGGTTTATTTTTGGACGGACACAATAATTTACATTTTT